TTAGGGCTATTTACAATCTGGGCCCCAAAGTATCTTTGACGGATAAGTTTAAGGAAATTAACATTCCTACACTAGCCTCACAGTACATTTATGAAAATGTAATTTATGTTAAAAGGAAGAGTAATTTATTTATGAAAAATAGTGACAGACATAACATTAATACGAGGAATAGAAATAAACTAGCTTTTCTTGATAGTCGTCTTCACAAAGTCAAAAAATCATTTAAGGGGCAATGTAAGTATACGCTTTTATAACAAGATTCCGGTTGATATACAAAATTTGCCTTTCACGAGGTTTAAAACTATAGTGAAACAAAAACTTTATACTGAAGGTTATTATACAACTTCTGCGTACTTGGATGACAAAAATCCGTGGTAGTAACCCGTTTAGCTCATGGAGGTAGTCTCGATCTCTGATGTTTCAAATAAAAAAAAATATTGTAAATGTTATTTACAAAGGGCAACCCCTAGAGTTTCTCGCTCATTCTTCTCAGGGGAATCTGCCTTACGAATGAGCGGTTTGAATTTGAAGAACATACAGTCGAATTAAGAACCTCCTCTTGTTTTTGAAGTCGGTTAAAAATTGACCCAAGATGCTGGCAGCGTTGCCTCTTTGTGTAGCTATGCTAATACGTTGAGCAAAGTAGATGCCAGTCCTTGGGTTCCCCAAACAGTCTATTAATTATTATGATAAAATTGAAAAAGACCCACGGACCAAAGATTTCGACGCCATAGGGAGTAAACAGGTAATGAGTTTGGTATAGGTATTAAGTCTGCGGATATACGGGTGAATGTCAATGCTACCCTGAGGGTAAAGCAGTTGGGGTCCCACGACAATGTGAATTCTAATTCATTTATGATGAGAGTACCAACTCAACATCTGTTGACCTTCATGAAGGAGTATTGACCGAAAGGTGTCATGTACCGACGTTTCCGATGCCGGCTACCGGACACCCACGTTGCGCCACACGTCGCAGCACATTTGTTTAAATATTAGTGTATTCTTATATTATTATAAAGGTATGAATTTACGGGTCTATGAATATAAATAAAATAAAATAAGTTGCTAAAATGTTTGGTAATGCCAGTTTCCTGTGTGTTGTAACTCACAAGGAGACCTCTAAGCATTAGGCAACATTTTCATACTACTACCTTATATCTTATACCGCACACTTGAAATTACTTTTCAAATAATGTAATTTTGTAATTGGTAACACGGTAATTAATAATCCAGCTATACTCAACGTTTTTTCTATTTACTCTTCTCTTTATTCTATTTATGAAGATAAATAGCCGTACATGGGTAAGGGCGTCAAAAATGGCACTTTTTCGTCTTGTTTAAGCGTCCAGCAGTTTTTTTTATAAAAAGTGTTAATGTAATCCAGTGTTAATGTATTCCTTTTAAAATACGACATTTCTGTTAGTGGTTCGAATTTATGAACATGTTATACTGGGCATTTTAATTTAAATAAAATATTTTTAGAGCGCCATCACAACGATTCTCGTCCAAACTAAAATGCCCTAAAATTCCCTTCGTAAAATATAATTTTAAATTATTTTTTTCTTAAGTTCTATTATTAATTGTCGCCGTTCCGTTGATATGACCGTCAATATGCGGTATCTAAAGCTAGGTGACTATATTCGTTACGTTTTTATTATCTGTTTTGGTAAAAAGTCAGTTATCTACTGCATTTTTACATGGCACCATTAGAATTACTTTAAAGTTCACTATAACTATATATTAGATTTTTTTATAGAGGATAAAAAGTATATCAACTACATTGCATGTTTGAAAAGCTTTGAAGTTCTCATTTAAAAAAGTATCCTAATATCAGATATCCAATATTAGGCTCGCGTAGGTATCCGATATTAAGATTTCACAAAGCCACAAAACTCACTACAACTTAGTAAACATTATCGGTTTGAAAATATTTGCATAATAATTTGTACTTCCCCTGACGAAAACAACACTTTTTCATAGAATAATATATATATATTTTTGAAAGTAACGTGGTCTCACTGTTCTGTCATTTTCTAAATTAGTCAGATGATTTTTTTACAGCAGCACCACTTTATAGTTGGCTATTAAAACATAAAATAAAAAATAGAGGACATTAAGGAAAAAAAAAGAGAGAGTTCACTATCCGGAATTAAGCAACTACCCGATATACGGTGATTTTCCCCTATCGTATTTGTACGTTACTTATTTGGCATTAAGTTCATTACAGTTATGTAAAATTAAGTTATGTAAAGTATGCCTCAGACCTTAAACATTGAAGCACAAATATTTACAAGGGAGTCTCGAACCACTATACATGTAATGATTGAGCTTCTGAATAAAACATGTTTGTATTTTTTTAAATTTGATTTTTTTAAGAATGCTTCAGTTCATATGGAATTCACATACAAACAGTCGCACCCTTGGTGTAATAATGGCATATCTGCAAAAATTATTTCAGGAGACAGATTTAAAAGGGTTTAAAGATTCCACGAATTAGTTGATAACTTTTTTTACTTAAATGTAAGAGCTATGAAATTTCATATGTACAATAACTTGTGTGATGTCTAGAATATAATAGAATAGAAATAATTTATTCCGTATAAAATCACAATACACCCAATAAAAGAAAACTTAAATAAAAAATTAAACTACTAAAAAATTAACTAAAAAATAATATTAAACTAAACTAATAGGCTGTGCGTTGTGCTGTTATGGAATCCGTCATCCAGTGCTGGTGAAATTACAGGCACATGGGGCTTATCTACTTATGTCTCAGGGTGACGGGCGCAGTGACAATACCCCTGATCTTTGCGATTTAAAGCTCTGAGTGGCACTGCAACTGTTATGGATGGGCGTGTCGCTTACCATCAGGCAAACGATTGGTTCGTCCCGTCACTAGGTATTTAAAAAAAAATTGTGTCATGTGTGTACTTCGTATTATTTTTATGACTTTATTGTGATAAAAACTGCCTCTGTGGCCGAATGGTTACCATGGTGGTCTGCCACGCTGGCCCACGTTTCTTCCTCTAGTGAATTTGACCATGACCGTGACAGTGAGTGTGTATTATTACTATTATTGAAAGCAGTTTTGGCGTATGATCACTTATGGCTTTATTATTCCAAAGGTATTAAAAAAGATGTCATACGTCGAAGGAAAATATACGACGATTAGTTAAGAATTTCGCTATTAGTAAGGAGGTGAATGATATGGGTAAAGTATGGTAGGAAATACAGTCGATTTGAGAACCTCCTATTAATTTAAGTTGGTTTAAAACTAACTAAAACTAAGGGTCGTATTCCAGAACTCTACTCAATGCTCAAGTCAGGATCTGAGTATGATTTCGAGTACTTTAAACCATACTCAAATCCTGACTTGAGCATTGAGTAGAGTTCTAAAATAAGACCCTCAGTGTTATTAAAGCCGCCCCGTGCCGCCTAGAGTCAGCGACCTACATAATATTGACGCGTTAGTTTACCAGCGCAAGCACAATATCACGCTGTCGAGTTCGTATTGAAGTTTGTACAATTGTTATACAGGCTGTTACCAGTTAATACCTTTAAGTGGACACTAGAGAAAAGCGTGGCTAAAAGTTACACAACACTATAATATATACATACATACATTTATTCATACAATATATATAATACAACACTATAATCGCATGAATACTTAGATGACAGGAATATGTCCAATTAATAATATAGATATTTAATACACAATATGGATATTTATAAATTTTATTATTATAAAAGAATAATTATAATCTTATTACGATTTTTAACACACCTGTAATAATCTTAATGCCTATAATAAAAAAAAGGATAGAGTAAAGTGGCGTTCCGTGGTCTCTGCCTACCCCTCCTGTGGGACAAGGGCGTGAACTTATGTATGTATATACCATAACGTTGTATTGGAGATTCATTGGAGTTGACGAAATCATAGCTGACACACAGTCCTTAACGCTTAACAAACTTTTCCGAGGTCCGTCATAAGCGGTAGAATGTACCTATAGGTACGAGTGGCTACAGTACAATTTTTCTCAACTATAGAGATAGATGCTCAGTTATTATTAATACTTATTCACGTGCATGATTGATAGACGTGTTTTTCAGAATGCTGACGGGGCTGTCGCGTTTCTGTCGCGCGAGATGTTTACGAAGGCATCTATGATAATGTGCGTGCGCCGCTGCTGCCGATAGAGCCAACGACAAAGAGTTTCTTGCCGTTGTAATCGTCGAAACTGGTTATTATTTGAACAGCAAGTTATTATTCTATCACATTTAGCTAAGTATTATGTCCGCCTTCCATTGCGAAAGGGTAGTGAGCGGGAAATAGTTGAGTGGAACGGAGTTAAATGCATAGTTTTGTCCTTGCACTACGAAAGTAACAAAGTGTTTATTTTTTTACACCACATTTAGGCACCGAAATCAAGTATGGCGTATCTATGTGGAGGGTGTGTAATAAGAGTCTACTTCGTCGTCTTCCAATTGCGTGACAATGCGGCAAGTATTTAATATTATAGCTTTTTTTCAAGGTAATGCTCTTTTCAATCTATGAATTTGAAGCTATGGAGAAGATGATTGGGAATAATGCCTGTTGTGGAAAGAACAATAGGGATAACTTACATGTGTTCTTTTCGCCAAATTCTAGACACTGCATCATTTACTTCTGCGTTTCGATTATTTTTTCAGTTATAGTCTTCTGTATGTTATGTATATTGGGAACTACAATGTCTATTAGGTAAGTAATTTTATTATTATGATTATTATTAAACGCCATATTTATAAGTGAAGCGAAAGAAATTTCAAATTATACATGTCGCTGTATTAAATTACCTTTTACAACATACGCGCGAATTATAAATTAAATTATACGCACCCTGTATATAAATTTAACATAATTATTGCTTTTCATTAATAAAACTACAGAACGCTTACATAGTAAGATTTTAAAATTTCTGTAGTGCTGATTCAAGTTAAAAACCACTATAAAAGACGCCTGGCGAGCGGTACTTCGCATAATTCGACAAGATGAAAGCCATCTGCCTGCTCCTGTGCCTTGCACTGGCCCGCGATGGTGCGGGTCACATATTCAGGCGGCACCGCTACAACCCGCAAATGGAGAATTCCATCGCCCAAAATAAAATGGACTTCGACTCACAACAGGGAAATATTAAGAACAAGGAAGTGGAGCAGAACTACAAGCAATACGAAAATTATTACGACAATTCTCGGTTAAGCGAGAATGAACGTTACCAGCCGATTGTGCGAGAACAGAAGCAGGAGGTTCGTCGCCGACAGAAACTCGCCGGTGAGCAGCAAGAAATGGAACAGTATAACAGAGGGTACGAGAGATATTACGACAATTATCAGTCGAATGAGCAAGAACACTACCCAGCGACCATGCGCCAACAGAAGCAGGAGGTTCCTCGTAGACAGGAACTCGTCCGTGAGTACAATCAACAGGGTAACCAGTATCAGCAGAAACAAAACCAACTCTACCCTGAACCGCAGCGCTCGTCCTATAAGCAACAGAAGCAACGTTACCAAGAAGGAGCTGAAAAAATGCACACCTATCAACAGACATACGATTCCAATTCCATGGAGAGCAACACCCATGACAATGTCAGAGAAGACAAATACGCCACACCAATGTATGCCGATACTCCCATGCTTACTGCTCAGTTAGCCTTGAACTTAAAAAGCCAGAACAAAAAGTCAGTTTCAGGTGATTCCATTGCTTGGAGAGGCGTCCAAATAGCTACTGGGCCCAAATCTTCCGTCAACAAAGAAGACATTGAAAAAATCTTTGAAGGCGCTTATGATGCAATGAATCACCTCAGTGAAGAAGACAAGAAAATGTTCCACCAGGCGTTGGAGGAAACTAAAAATTCTGGAGACGAAGATGTACACCTTAACGCTACAGAGCTTCTTAATAAATACCACTACGGGGTTGAGACTTACACTGTCAAAACCGACGACGGTTATTACTTGACTCTATTCCGCATTCCACCGAAGCAACAGATACCGCAGCGGCCCGTCGTGTTCCTAATGCACGGTCTTCTGGGAAGTGCAGATGACTGGCTGTTAATGGGTCCCGGCAAGTCGCTCGCCTACTTGCTCGCTGACGCCGGTTACGAAGTATGGTTGGGCAATGCACGCGGCTCCAAGTATTCTCGTCGCCACGTTACCAAACACCCCGCTTTAGCTGATTTCTGGCAGTACAGCACCGACGAGATCGCTCTTCACGACTTGCCCACCATGATTGACTTCGTTCTTAAAACTTCCAACCAAGAGAAAATGTACTACGTCGGCCACTCGCAAGGAACAACTGCCTTCTTTGCTCTTGCGTCCAGTCGCCCTCAATACAATAACAAGATCATCATGATGTACGCTTTGTCGCCGATGGTATACATGTCCAACACGCGCAGCCCCCTACTCCGATTGATAGCTCCAACTAGTCCCTTTCACCATAAACTGAACCACCAACTTGGTCATGGAGAGTTCAAACCCAGTTCGGAACTGGTCCACACTATTGGCGGCGCTATGATCGAAAACGAGATCGGCTGCAAGAACATCAGCTCTAACGTCAAATTTGTCGTGTCTGGCGTCAATGTTGAAAACTTGGATGTCAAGGATATCCCTGTCATCATGGGTCATCTACCAGCGGGTGCATCTACAAAGCAAATGAAGCAGTATGCTCAGGCTGCCTCAACCCAACAGTTCACCAAGTATGACTACGGCTCGGAAATCAATGAAAAGGTGTACGGCAGCCGTCAACCGCCTCAATACCAGATGCAGAAAGTGACAGTCCCAGTAGCTCTGTACTACAGCGACGGCGACTGGTTAGCGAACCCTCAAGACGTGGCTAAATTGGAAAAAGAACTGCCGAATGTGAAGGACTCATACAAAGTAACGGGACGAGGCTTCAGCAACATGGACTTTCAGTTCTCGAAGAAAGCACCCGAAGTTATTTACAATAGACTGATCGAGTCCATTCAAAAGCAGGCTCAAGAAAACTACGTTTATTAGTGTTAATAATTTATTTATTGCTAATTTAGGTTAACGAAAGAATTTGTATTTGTATACCTCATCGGATAAAAAAAATAAATCCGTCCACAAAAATTACTTTGTTTTTTTCTCTAAACTTCAAGTCTATCTAAGGAACGTTTTATTACCTACTTTATTTGTAACGGTCTAGATGCAATTTTCTACCATTATCTGAGGTATAAATATTATATTTGGTTTAACGAGTTTTGTATATTGTACAATTTTATAACACACACATAAAAACACAGTACAAACATAAAACACAAGTTATACTTATAGAAGTTAACAAATCACATAATACAGGCGAATTGAGAACCTCCTTCTTTTTGAAGTCGGTTAAAATAATTATGTAGATGTTATTTTAGACATAGAAACATCGAATGTGAAGGTTATAAAAGGAATATTTAATAAAAAAAATACAAAGTTTTCAATTAACTACATTTTAAATACAAAATATAATGTACACTTACCTGAAGAATGGATATTAAAAATACGATTTACCTATTATTTATATAATCTGTTGGCCTTTTGGTATACTATTTCGCATCGCGCGTAGTGTCCGAGTAAACGGAGTTACGAATGCGGCATTTCTTAGTATGAGATGGGGTATCTGTATTAAATAAGTACTAGCATGTATTATAATAATATTAAAATACTAGAAATACGACCCTAATGGCAAGGACTTGAGTATGATTTCTAGTGCTTTAAATCATACTGAAGTCCTGACTTGAGCATTGGGTAGAGTTCTGGAATACGACCCTAAGCAATATTAGCAAAGAGTTTCTTGCAAAATCGAAGCTTCAAGATCGTCGGAACTGGTAATATTTGAATAGCGAGTTATATTCTACCACTGTTAGTTAAGTATAAGCTTTCTTTTTAAATTGTGTGTAAAATTTGGAGTTAAAATCATTTTGGACAGAACAAAAGATAAGGAGACGAAGACAAAGGTCAAAATGAGCACCTACAAAATAGTCAAGCAGCTGGCTATGGATCGTGAAGAATGGAGGAGGCTGTAAGAAGAAAAGTATTTAAAATTTAGTTATTTATTGTAAGCACCAGCGGAATAAAATTACAGTATTTAATTGTTTGAAATTGAAAATAGTTCCAAATCACAAACTAGTACATTATTATATTATTTGTTCAAAGTTTTACAAAAAAAAACTATTGTACTTAATCATTTAAACATGGCGGGCGGCGGAGGCGGCGGCGTCGCGCGGAACATAAACCCGAGTAGGTTTATCCATAATTTTACTGTGATGTTAAAAGATATATTATAGGCAAGAAGTTTTATAGACGAATGTTACATTTGCCATTCATAGTTTTATGAAAACTCCGTTTACTTTAATAATATTTACATATTTTATAGTTATTACTACATTGTCATGAGATTATGTCAAAAGTATAATATCCACCTTTTCGTTCTTCGGTTAACTAAAGTATTCTTTAGACGCGCAAAATAAGTCCGTAACCTTGGAATGCTTTGGTTCACAATTTTAGTAACTTAAATATCGTTAGATGGCGTTAGTAAAAGGAACGGGATTGGAGCATTCCAAACAGTCAACAAAAAGTAATTGGAGAACGGTTTGACATTTGAATAAACAACCCACGCTATGTTTTGACGTTTCGTAGATGTTATGTCACGAAAGCGTTGTTGTGTGCAAGAGACGGACATACGATTTACGTAAAGAAAGACAAAGATAGCGACGCGGCGGCGCAGAGTCGTTTCCCGCCGCTACGATCCTGTCTTCCCCCCGCCCCAAACGTCAGTTTGTTGCGGTGGAGTTCGGTTTGCTGTGCAAAACATAGTTAAAATAATTCAAGGAATATTGTAGAACTGTTTTATTTACTTCGCACATGAATGAGAACATTTCTGGTGTTTATTAGGTAACTGAGTGTAAAAATTCGTGTTCGCATGGATTGAATAGTGAACATGTTGCCTCCTACGGCCGGTGTAGCTCAAGAACAACGCGACCGGACCGAAATGGCGTACCAGCAACGTCGTGACGTACGAGAAATAACGCGGGAGATCATCAGAGACGCCCGCGTCGCTAATAGACAGCAGTCCATGTCCCCTGGAGGTAAGAAAGCCGGTCCAAAACGACGCCACGTTTCCGCCATGCTTGTCAAATTTGACATACATATGTCAAGGTGACATTTAAACAAAAACAAAGCCTTTATTGCTGTGAATTCAGTATTAAACGTGAATTATTCTTGCATTCCATCCTGTTATCTACCGTCTGGAATAAGTTTTGGGAGTGTTACGTCACCGTGGGATGCGATTACATGAAAGTAAAATGGCGTCATTACGCGACGTGAATCGCTTGCTTTATCAATAGGCGTCAACTGTGCAACGCTAGGCTTTGTTGTGATTAACTTTTGCCAACAGTTTATAATATTGTGTTGTGGAGCTACCTCATTGCGAAACTTACGTTGAATTCATACCTCCTACTAAATTAGGACGATTTGGAACGTGCTGGAGTTATTTTTAGATATCACGCTACGTAACGCGTAAAGATCATGGAAATCGATACGCAGATCATGAATTTAGCATTGGGTGGCATTTGTGATAAGCGGGAGAACATTTTATTTTGATCATTTGATAGAATTGTCAAATTCCCAATTGTTGATATTGGAATCTCATTGACTTTTGTAAAATGTCGTTATGACAGAAAAATGACAGCACTAAAGTCAAGCCCCACAAGATGGCCGCCGCACCATCTTCTCAATCACGCGCTCCGATAGGTGGCGCTACTATAGTTTTGTTTATATTGTATTTGCTATATGTACATACCCATTTGCCATAATTATTGACGCTGTAAGATATGTGCTCACCAGTGTGAAGTAACTGGGCTGTTAATGATTTTGATTTAAATTGCATGCACACAGGTCTGCAATGTCAGAGATAAAATATGAATTACTATAGTTAGAGGCAAATTTTTGAGAACCATTTATCTCGTACATTATTCTCTGGACACAATATGGTCTTCCAGCCAACTATGAGAAAAAAAGGACAACTCCATTGTGTGTATAAACCAAAATCTATTTGATGAACCCCTTATTATTATTTGTGTGAAATTTACAACTAATGTTAGGAAACACAGTGGGTTCTGAGTATTTATGATGTGGAAAGGAGCCTAATATAAAATTAATTTATTTATATTAAGGGGTCAACACATCATGGGCTGTTATTATTTATTTTTGTATTACCCAGTTATTATTTATTTGGTTGTTGTTAGGGCCTGTGTAGGGCTGCAATCTGCATCTTCACCAATGCATCTGTTGTGGTCACCACTAGTTACGACTCAAGGCCAAGAGCTTATAGACTCAAGGAACTAGTAGCTAAAATTGTAGTCTATAAAGTAATATTTATTTTAATCACTAGAACTAACACTGTTTAACTTTTCTTATGTTCAGATGCTAGATAATATTCCAGAGTATATAAATACTGTTATTCTCTAAAATTTTACTTATGTTGTAATAATGAAAAAGGGCACAATTGTTGTATAAAGTATGCATAGTTGTGCCTTTTCATTACTAGGGTAGAAAACCTCAAATATGTATGCCGTTTAGCTTGACACATGCCTGCTACAGGTGTGCAAATGTGTATACCAACTACAGATGCACTGTCCACAGTAAAGTGGAGTAATTTAAATAATTAAAGTTTTGGGAACAGACAAAATAAAAAACTTTAAATAAGAAATATAGGTATAGACTTTTTCATTTTTATCATATTTAACATCAATCAAATAACATAATGTATGGCTGGTGCTAAGTATGTTTATTTTTAATCTTGCTTTCCAGTTTAAAAAATTACTTTTACATTTATGTTACTTCATAATTGAGAAAGCAATACATATTTGGAACTACTAAGTGCCGAGATTAGAAATTAATATATCGACAACCTTTAAACATAATTTAAACATAACCAAAGTGCTGTTTCTATGTTGTAACTAAGGTGCAAAAAATACTGATGAAGGATCTAAGAAGACCTTATTCATGATGCTCAAGAATGGCAACTAAATTTAAAATTGTATACAAAGGTAGGTGCCCTGTGTTGTGGGAATTTGCAGATAAAGGTACCTTTTCTTGCATCAATCTGCATACTTAAGGTACTTTTATTTGTAATGACATAGTGATTATTTGCATTCCATTATTCAAATCCTTGGGTCAGAGGCGAAAATGGCATTGTATGTTGTACAGTTGTCAGTTAGTAAACATCATTTTTTTTAACTGCTAATTTGCTTATTTTGCAACTGTTTAAGTACATATATCCTTCCTATCCTTCTGTCTTATGATTTTGTAATTGTATGAGTACACATGTCTTCCTGTCTTATGCCTATCTTTCTTACATATGCCTAGAGGTGTAAGTGTGAGAGCCTGGTGCTCACACAGGTTAATCCTAGTATAGATACCAGACTTTCACAAACAAAACTAAATTCAGGAACATGTGAGGACCATGGGCATATATAAGTTTCTTTTGTGAAAGTTAATAAAGACATTTTCATTTCTTTATTTATGTGTATTGTATATGGTTATGTCTTTTCTAGGAACAATTACAAACTCAGGTATTCTATATTATACTGTTTATGTTTTGGACATTGTCTTCTACAATGTATTATTATATTTTGTATTATTATTTATATATATATAGTCTACTTGATGCTCAGAAGTCTGTTAACAAATACAAACCATTATGTGTTTATTTAACATACGACTTATTTAAGCACTTTGAGCAGCAAGTGGATGAAATTATAGCAAAGAAATTACAAAGACTGGCTTGATACTCATAAGTCAACAAACTTGAACAAAATGTGTGTCAAATAGGGCGTTGTAAGCATTTTCATTTGCGTAAACATGCGCGACCTGGATTCCGAGCAAAGACAGTGGCGAGGTGCGCGCTCTTGTTGACCTGTGTATGAAGTAAGGAGCAGCCTTAAGTAAACAAATCATTCAACTAACTTTTGCGACGTTAAACGTAACAATGATGCAATTAACTAAACATGTTTTTGGGCTTGTTTCTTGAATATTCTTGAAATGGGCGGCGAAATTGTAAACATATTTCTTTTAAATTCAGTCATTCACTTCCACAGTTTCCTCTACATATAATCGCAGATTTTTTTTCTTGATGTTAAAAGAACCTATTTCATATATCAATATTACTTCATATGTTGAGTGTGTGCGTTATTTATTTATTTATTTATTTATTTATTAAAAAAAAAAAAAAAAAAAAAAATCCTGACAAGTGCTCAGTTCTGTGCTGGTCTGTGCATTTATAATTATAAATGCCAAACACGAATGTTATAAAGTGAGACAATTTCTTAGTTGCCATTCTATCTATGATATTTTGATGTTCAGCTCGAGACCGTTTCCCGTCGACCTCTTCAACGGACGACAACGAGAGCGGTACGGATGGCGAGGCCGAACGCAGCCGGCACGGCGGGCTGGTGTACGTCCAGGAGAGCTCCACGCCCCCGCAGATTCCCGTGCGCAAGCGCCGAGGCAACCTGCCCAAGCACTCTGTTAAGATTCTCAAGCGCTGGCTCTACGACCATCGCTACAACGCCTACCCCAGCGACGCCGAGAAACTCACCCTCAGCCAGGAGGCCAACCTGACGGTGCTGCAGGTGGGTGTCGCGCTCTGTCGAATTGCATCCTACCACCCGACCCTCGGCTCCCACTGATCCCGTGCTCGTCGACAGGTGTGCAACTGGTTCATAAACGCGCGGCGGCGCATCCTGCCGGAGATGATCCGGCGCGAGGGCCACGACCCGCTGCACTACACCATCTCGCGGCGCGGGCGCAAGCAGCCGGGCGCGTCGGCCGCCGCCGGCGCCGCGCAGGGCGTCGTCGTCACCTGGGACGGCGTGGAGCTGGACAACGAGGGCGAGCGCGCCGCCGACGCCGACTACGGCGACGGGCTGCTGGTGTACCGCAGCGACGGCGACGAGATCGCCGACGGGGAGGAGGGCTACTCGTCCGGCGCCGTCAGCGAGGAGGAGGTGAAGTACGACCCGTCCGTGTGGCAGTCGGTGATCCGCTACGGGCCCGAGGACCGCGAGCTGCACCCCGCGGCGCGCGGCACGGCGGCCGTGGTGACGGTGCGCACGTCGGACGGCGACGAGCCCGACGAGGGCGGCGAGGGCGGCTCGGCCGGCGGCTGGCACCCGCAGCTGGCGCACCTGCCGCAGCTGCCGCACCCGCTGCGCCGGCGCCTGCACGTGCTGCCGGCCGACGCGCCCGCCGCGCCCGCCGCGCCCGACGGCGAGCGCGACAAGTTCAAGTGCCTGTACCTGCTGGTGGAGACCGCCGTGGCCGTGCGCCAGCGCGAGAAGGAGCAGGAGGAGGTGCCCGTCTAGTGCCCCGTTCCTGCTCGTGCCGGTCGAACTGAAACATTCGGTGGCCCCCGTTGGAGCGACTCACTTGTCGCTTCGTTTCGATCACTTAACCCCGCGTTAACCGACTTACACTTTATCATTGGATTCATGTTTGACACTGACAAATTAATATTTAGTTCTTTTCTAGTCTACCCTGTCCTCGAATTCGTTGCAACGTTTAAAGTGTTGGTGTATAACAAAAAAATATATAACGCATATGGGTGTGCTTTTATGTAAGGCCTTGTACACGTGAGGCGCGCGCGTAGGAAATAGAGCACACGATGTGCTTGGACCGCTGTACTCTTGACTTGCATATCATTCCCCGCATAATTCGATTCAAAATGTCTTATTGCAATGTAAATAATTCATCCTCAAAATTAGACATTTACAGGAGACCGTTTTGTAATTGGGTTACTAAATGCACAATGAAGCCAGTAATACTTACGTGCACAACATTGTCTCACACCGAATCACGCAAAATGCGGATTGTGGCATTTAAAAAAGATGAACATACAATTGGAAAACAGCAACTGAACTAGCTCGCGTGCAAGATATTCTCCCTAGCTTATATCCTGCTTACGTCAGTTTGAAAACACCCAGTTACTCATTATTATCATATTATAAGATAGAATTAAATAACCGCATATAGAGCTGCTTAACCTGTAGATGAGTGCAACTGTTATATTTATCTTATTTACTGAGCAGTGTATAATGTAGTATAGCGAACTACATTTGTATAATATAGTATTACAATGATAAACATATGCAATTAATTTAGAACAAGATTATAGTGATTGCGCAGTACGTCCGATTTGTATCAGGGGGTCTACTCACGACATCCGTCCGAAACAATTACTGTGAAATAAGTAATATTCGACAAAATTAAAAGACAAGTATCAAGTATGAAGCGTCATTCGCATCACGCGTCTTTTCATTTGGTCAAGTTTTTTTTATTTGGCAGTAATTGTTTCGGACGGAGATCGAGAGTAGACCCCCAGTTCCGAATCCGAGAAATGACGGTCCGAAATAATAATAATAATAACGCACACACTCAACATGGCCCCGCACTAGGGAAACCCTGTGTCGCAAGTGCCATGGACACACACATAGACAACCACAAATTACACCCAAACTCACGAGAGAAATAAATGTAGGCCATACAAATATTTCTCCCGACCCGGGAATCGAACCTGGGACCTCTGGTATGGTAACCGTTCGGCCACGGAGGCAGTTATACCTCAGGGATCATTTTATCTCTAGGTGCACGAGAGATTTTCGTATTTTCTCGGATTCCAATGGGACGAAGAGCTCAAGCGACATCCGAAGTGTTTTCTAGAGTTTCAGAGAGATAGTCTCGGATTCGGAACGTATACTAGCCGGATGTAGAGCGCAAATGCGCTTAGTGTATGTAAATTAAGTAACTTGTGTAACTTAACGCAGTTAACACATAAACTGAAGGTATGTCGAATGTTAGTATGAATAAATAATATACATTTGATTGTATACGCGCACACTTCGATAATTGCGGTGTGTTATTTTCATTTCGCGTTATTTTAGAGGTAGGTTTTTATGTACAACGCGTATGCGTATTTTAGTTATAAATAGTTGTTAAGATCACACTTCTGTTAGCTGTACACGCGTAACATTGGGTTCCAAGTTTTGGCCCCGCTAACGTCATGGTTAAGGACGTGTCCAAATTAGACACTTATAGAAGACCTACAGTGTCCGTTTTGAAGGCGCCATAAGAGCTCCACACACAAGGAGCGGCGCGGTTTGCGGTTGAATTTGTACAGCTTACTTACTCTAAACGCGTTGTGTCTTTTGAAAAAGTAAGGTATCTTGTTTCTGTTCCACAGACTTGTCTTCCGAAGGAATTCTTAAAACCTCCATGCCAACGTTATAGTCTTTATATAAATTGTATAATACGATTGATGTGTGTTTATTGTTCATTTACGCTAATAGGTGGTGAAATAATAAAAAATGGTGGATGTTTTCGTAGCATTATCATGAGATAATAAAAAAAAAATTAGTTGATCCGATATGAATTTAATCCGGAACTGGGGGTCTACTCTCGTTCACTGTCTGACGTCCGTCCTAAACAAACACGGTTCAATAAGTAGTACTCGACTAAATTTGAAAAGTCAATGTCGTGTATGAAGCTTCGTTCGCATCGTGCATCTTTCATTTGGTCGTGTATTACTTATTTGACAGTAATTGTTTCGGATAGACGTCGAACGGAGAACGAGACAGGCAGGACCTGTTTCACAGATTGTTTTTAAAAATGATTTTTATAACCCGTTTATTTTTCAGCGGAGTTATATAGTCATAATCGTCAACTTTCAAATTAGACGCTTGCAGAAGCACTGCAGTAGCACGCCAACCACGCGTCTGTAGCGCTTCAGTAATTTTTAGTTTTTAGCAATCGTGTAAAGATGTTGGAAGAAAAAGGAGAAAACTGCGCGATTGCTCTCATCAGTCGCGCGCGTAATCCTGCGTTCCAAGGTTTTTTTTTTTACCCGGACGCTCTTCCGTTGTAATACAAACGAACACGAAAATCGCGCGCGAAAGAACGTTAGCTTAAAAAATTTCAAGCAGGTAATCGCGCCCGATTGCACGTGTAGGCTTTACGCGCGCAATCCTGTACGCTCCTGTGGTGCCACTGCAGCGCTTTTATAAGCGTTCAATTAGAAGGCGCAATTAGGCTCAATTTACATTGTAACCGCGGAACAGTATAGAAGCGAAATTTTGTAACGGAATTTTCCATTACGAGTAATTGTCTTGTTTTTTTTTCGGCTCGTATCTAGTTTCTATATTCAAAGTCAAAGTCGTTATATTGATTAAACTGCGTACTTGGATGACAAAAATCGATGGTCGTGACCCGTTTATTATAGTAGCAATAGAGCTCCTAGTGATAGAATTCGTCCAGGGAAGTACTGCCACCTTACCTATTTCTGCCGCCAAGCAGTGATGTCAGCGTTACTGTGTTCCGGTTTTGAAGGGTAAGGGTGCTGGCGAAATTACAGGCACATGGGACTTGTCAACTTATGTCTCAGGGTGCCGGGCGCGGTAGCAGTGCGCCTCAGATTTTTGCGATTTGGACCTCTGAGTGGCTTTGCAACTGTTATAGACAGGCGTGTAGCTTACCATCAGGCGCACGACCTGTTCGTCACTTGATATTTTAAAAAAATATATATTTAAATGTGAGAGTAACCCATAGAGTTTCTAGCTCATTCTTCTCAGGTGACGAATGAGCGGTAGAGTTTAATTAATATGATGATTTCAAGTGTAATTTGCTTACCTATTAAACATGACTTTGAATTTAAACTCTACTGAGAAATTCTAGGGGTTGCTCTTTGTAAATATACATTTATCATTTTACAATATTTATTTCAAACATCTTAATCGATAATACCTGGAAGAGCTAAACGGGTATTGCCACGGAATTTCGTCATCCAAGTACGCAGAAGTTGTATAATAGTAACCTTTAGAATTAAGTTTTTGTTTCACTATAGTTTTAAACCTCGTAAACATTGGCTTACAATTTGTAAGTCAATGCTCGTAAATGACAAATTTTTAACATCAATAATTAGATTATCTTATAGAAGCTTATACATTGCTTCTTAAATGAATTTGTGACCGTGAAGACTGCCGTCAAAAACAACTACTTATTTATTAGTGGCTTGTTCTGTCACGTAGGTAGCCTCTACATGGGAGGAGGTACATTTATTTTCAAATATAATATTGACTATTACTGCTGTCTGTGAGACTCCGAAGAGGGTTTGTCTAAAACAAAGCACACAATTGCAACATCACGGGACAACACAAACCATAGCCTAATAAATCAGGGTTATTAGTAAATGTTTTGGTAAATTAGTGAGCTAATTAATACACGCGATGTAGATAAAAACAAGGTTTATAAAAATAAATAAAGAAAAAAGGGAGAGAGTAAAAAATTAAAATTTTAATTGGTTTATTGCCAAATTTTTTTTTTTAATTTTGAAAGGGCTTAGATGCATTTTGTGCTAGTTGGACGAGGGAGTAGATCGTAGAGAGAGACAAGAACAACTAACTAGTTTATGTTTATTTCTCGTATTAATGTTATGTCTGTCACGATTTTTCATTAAAAAAATACTATTCTTTAACGTAAATTACATTTTCATTAATGGACTGTGACGCTGGTGTAAGATTGAATTTTAATCTTTTAAACTTACATAATTGCACAGTTCCACAATTGACATAAAAACCATTATACTTAAAGTTACTAAAATTCGTTTTCATTCCGTTCCACGGCTATATGAATAGAGGCTTAGGGCCAGCGCAAACCGGCGGACGGGAAGGCAGAAGACATTAAATGCTATTTCACTTAAAATAATGCATAAATTTCCATGACCTCGAAGAAGGCATTTCTCCATAAGTCTCAGAGCATTGAATTTCAATGTAATAGCATAAAATATACTTTGATAAATTGAATGTCCTCTACCTTGCCGTCAGTCGGTTTGCGCTAGCTCTTATTCATTCCGAATTATGTTACTGGTCTCTTTAAAGAGATAATTTAGGCCATAGTCTTTGTTGGTTGGTATGGTAATGTACTTGTTGTTAGCTGCACTCAAATGTTTTTGACAGATTACAAGAGTGAGGTCAAATCTCAATTCATTAACAAAAAAAACATAATCGAATGCGAGTCGCATCCAGAGGCGGCTGATTAAAAAGTTTTACTAAAACGAAAATAAAAATGTTTACTTGTTAGATCGTCAATTCGAAACCGCTTTGTTTCGCATTGGGCTTTATAAGTGACGATCGTATTAGATTTCATTTTTTTTAATTTCGAAAAACAAAAGCCGAGTTGTGTCGTAAAATTATACATCCACAAATTTTACTGCCAGTTCTATTGACAACAATGTACTGTAAGTAGCTCCTTCAATGTAGTTATGAATTAATACGAGACTTGACGAGCGGACAAACGTCAAAACGGCCATCATAGCGTGCCAGTACTATAATTCATTATATTACATTGCTTTGATACAATTACCTATTATATATGTATAACTATAAATTAACCTTTTATATGATACCTCCAATGATTGACTTAATATACCATTTTGCAATGTGGTCATCACTTTATCATTTTAGGCATATTGCTGAGTAGGGCTAAGGGACTGTCAATTGAGACGGCGCATTTACGCAACATTTGCTTTGCAATATCATTGTGTAATCCCATTGACTTACAATTATATGTTCGTCGGGTCCGCGCTAAAAAGTGTCCGCACTTGTAAGGCGCTAAAATCGTATACAGAGCGCCAAACTCCGCTTTAGTCTTCATTTGTTCTACTGACAGCGCGATACTGCGATGACATTACAATTTAAATTTCGAATAGGTTGACTTGGGACATTTTTTTCGTGGTTTTTTGTATTAGACCCGTCGTCCATTTATTTGTAAGGCAATGTGTAATCCGGTTAATATTTTATGCATATCGACACTGGAAAGGTAAAACCTCTTAACTCTAATTTTATTTGTTACATGGAAAACTAGAAAGTTTCAGTTTTTCCACATAACAAATAATACTTTAAATCGCTCTCCTGTGATATACCCCCGGACACATAATTCGAACCACCTTGCATTTTCAATATTAAATGCTTAGCTTAAACAATGCTTGATAGCTCAAAAATGCTATTACGCAACTTTAATTGCTATACTAAACGTCATTTCCTTAAGTCCTTAAAGAAAATTTTAAAAAACCGGAGAAAACTTTATTATTTTCGCTAGAATTATATAGAAGACTCGAATTATGTGTCCCGGAGTGTATTTTCCAAATTCACGTTAGATTTACCTTTCCAGTGTC